GATGAATCCGAGCTGGGAGGGAGTTGGTGGCAGGTGGGGAGAGAAGACTGAAGGCGTGGTCAAAGAGACAAGTTTTGTGTGGCAGGTTTTGAAAGCAGAAATGGAGGGATTTTGGAAGAGATTTTCAAAGGGCAGGGGCAATGTGGCTGAATGCTTATCCACCAATGGGGATTGGAGTGCTCAGGGCTCATGGTATTGATGGAGTGAAGTAAATGGCTCGAGGAGTAAGGTTGCAGGACGTCACAGAGGTCCGCGCAAAGCAATGAAATTACCAATAAAATAATACAAAAATAATTTTAAAAAAACCTAAACCAATACTTTTGATTCTCCAAGGCAGGAGGACAAGAGAGCAGATGCCCAGGGTTATGAAAGTCAATTTTATGATAGATCTAGGAAGTATTTCCTTGAGCAGAGAATAGCCAGGATGCGTTCAAGCACTCCGAGACGCTACCCCACGTGAAGGGTGCTATATAAATGCAAGTTGTTGTTGTAGTCAACAGCTGGAGCAGGTTAAAATAACTTGCATTTATACAGCACCCTTCACTTGGTCTAGTGTCTCAAAATAGTGAAGCATGACACTGAGCCAGGGTGGTGACAATAGGCACTGTAGAAGAGGAAAGTCTTCAGATGCGATCTGAAGGCAGGCAAGGAGGAGACATGGTAGGACTGAGGCAAGGAGTTCCAGTTTCGGGGTTTAGCGGCAAAAATCATGGTCACTGATGTTAGATCAGGGAGGGATGAGGGATATGCAGAAGGCCAGAGCCAGTTGAGCGAAATGGGCAGGTAGAGGAGCGGGCTGTGAGCAGATAGGGAAGTGCAAAGGCATGGAGTGATTTTAAGTGAATGTGAGAACCTTGAAATTGATCCATTCTGCACTAGGGAGCCTGGCAAAGAATATGATGATAGGAGTGCAGAGTTGGTACAATAACAGGAAGGGTGGCAGTGAAGAGGATCCTGGGCTTGTTTAAGAAATAGCTTGCTTGAGGTTTCAATGGGAAGATCTGTAGTGTGAGAATTCAGGATGAATGAGATCAAAAAGGCCAAAGGGCCTTAATCAGCTATCCTGCTCTTGTGATCTTGTGCTTGCTTCATATGAATCACTTTTTTCTGCAGTAAATGCAGTTCCAAGAATAAAGACATTTTTCTTTGAAGTTCAGTTTCCCTCGCGGCTTCTCGAGCTTGCAATTATGTCTCCTGATACTCCTTCTGCACAAGACCTCTCTTGACCATTCCCTTCATTAATCTTTGCATTTGATATAGTGCCTTTCACATCAGAAACGCTTCAAAGGATATACGGGAAAGTGTAGTGACTGGGTATTTTGTAGGTGAATACAGCAGCCAAGTTGCACACAGCAATGTTCCACAAACAGATGTTATGTTTGATTTGGGACAGATTTATCCAATCAATGTTTTTAATGCTTTGAATTTTAGTTTGTTCAACAACTTAACTTTAATTTTTCCGTCATATTTCTTATCTCAGTACTGTTACCTATTAAATAATAATCCTTGCATTTGATATAGCGTTTTTCATGTCGGGAGGACGTCCCAAAGCGCTTCACAGAACACACTGTAAAGTGAATTGACTGTATATTTGTGGGCGAACGCGGCAGCCAATTGCGCACAGCAATGTCCCACAAACAGTCGTAGATTAAAAATGACCAATTTAATTATTGTTTTTGTTTTTTTGGAGGGATTATTATTAGGCGTGTGGAGTAAGGAAACTTGCCCAAGGTTTCGCCCTGCCTGGAATTGAACTCAGGTCTCTCACTTGCAAAGCGAGTGCTCTAACCACTGAGCTACAGGACTCCAATATTACTCTATATTGATGTCAGGCCAGCTCAGCTGGTAGCATTATTGCCGCTGAATCAGAAGGTTATAGGCTTGAGGCCCACGTTGAGACTTTAAACTTACATACAATACAAAATTACATTTGCAAAGTGCCTATTCCATCGGGAGGACGTCGCAAGATGCTGAACCGTTAGGGATTAGGACCTGAGCGGTGGTGGACGGTTGGGATCAAGGAGGATAGAGGAGAGGGTACATAACATAACAAGTCCACTTTGCCTATTCAGGTGATCAATAATGATCCTCTGGCACTATTTGAAAAAAGGGCATTCCTCCTAGAAACCTGATCACCAATCTTCAGATAAAATTAAAACTGTGGGACATTACTACATGCAAACTAATTGCTGTGATCGCCTACAAAATATGCCTCACAGAATATCCTGTGAAGCCTTTTGCGTATCCTTTTGATGTGAAAAGCGCTGTATCAAATGCAAGGATTATTATTATCTTTCAATATTAAATGCATTTGTGATTCACCAGTCACTCTGAATTGTACCCTTTTTCTCTGTACATCCTGCTTTTGCACACAGCTTGGTATCATCTGCAAACTTAAAACATTCTACTTGTAATACCTTCATCAAGATCAATGATAAAATATTGTGATTAGACGAGGTCGCAGAAATGATCCCTGGAGTATCTTTGCTGGTCACTTACAACCACTACCCTGGTTTCAAACTTAACTGATTTATTATCCAATTTACAGCTTCCTATTTTATCTCAAGAGCTTTCACTTCAACCACAAGTCTCTTGTGAGACATCTTATATATCTTGAAGGCAGTTGATAGCATTCACCAATTCCACTGCACTCTGAAAGAATTCCAATATATTTGTGAGCCATGATGTACCTGCCTCCCATAAACCCATGGTACTGCTATTACTGCCTTTAATCTTGTTAAATGCATTTAATTCATTAACACTTCCTTTATTACCGACTCCAGCACACTCAATGTCAAACTATAATTCACAGAATAGTGGATCTGACCCATTTTAAAAATCAGAAAACCCAACAATTATTTTTGCCAATAATGTAGTGTGATGCCTGCATTGATTGAGTTGCAGTACATCTCTTTGTTTCTCCCCTTCTTATTTATGGTTTCCTTTACTTTGAACCCCAGTCTTCCAATCCACCCACCCCATTTGTACTCATAACTCTACAAATATGCATATTATAAAACATTTTCTCCTTTTCACTGAACTTTTTAAATATATTTCCTGCAATTTTTTGCATTATACAGATTGTTCTCCTTCATTGGGTTCAGTTTTATAGATTTTTCCGGGCACCTGTACTGTTCCTTGCAATAGATTTTTAAAACATGTTTATGTACTAAGCTTAATTTATTGAACAGCTGTGTGCAATTGGCTGCCATGTTTCTCCCACAAAATGTCAGTCACTCCAATTTACAGTATATTCTATGAAGAGCTTTGAGATGTCTCAACAACGTGATAAGGTGCAAAATCAAAAGCAAGGATTATTATTATTAACAACATTTTAATATTAGTCTTCTGTTTCCATGGTATTCATTTAATTTCCATTCATTCCAATATTTCTTCAAAACCACTCTTTTGTTTTGCTCTTTTCCTGTCCAGTAACTAGTCCACATTTGAAGTGCTGTGGTTTTAAAAGCAGATTTTCTAAAAAATCTTCCTAAATCCATCGCACAATGTCAAATCTAATACCATTTAATCATCTGTACATAATATGCTCCCTTTCCTCTATATTCTCCATTATCTCAAACTCAATACCAACACCAACTTATTTAACTATCATATTGTACTACTTCCACGCCACAATATTACACCATTAGAAGGCCAGTTCAGTCACACTTCAATACTGCAGATCAATCTTAAAGCTGATCAGTTCTGTAATTGGGAGCCAGTGGAACCTGGCGAGGACAGGTGTGATGGGGATACCGGGTCTGGTGTGCTATGTGGGCGGCAGAGTTATGAATTAATTGGATCTTGTGGATAGTTGAGCCTTTGGAGACCAGCGAGGAGGGCATTGAAATAATCGGGGCAGGAGGTGCTAAAAGCTTAGATGAGTGTTTTGGCTGTGAGGTGTGATCGAGTTGGAAGAAAGCGACCCTGGTCAGGGACCAGATGTGGGGTAGGAAGAGCAGTCGAGGATCTTCCTCCCCCATGTTCCCGATTTACTAGGGCACACAGGGAGGAAGGGGAGGCAGCCAGACGGATGTTTTCTATCTTTGAGATGAAGAAGTTCAGGACATCTTTGCACTCAGCATTAGATATGAGGATCAAGGTTGCTTGAAGAGATGCATGGAGGAGTTGATGAGTGATGGAGAAAAGCACTTTGGGGGTTATTTTTGGCCTCCAGAAAGGCCTGGGAATAGAAAGCAGTTTTGGCCTGTGAGACAGAGAGGCGGTAACTTGAGCCACATCTGGCGGTGAACCGCGAGGCCGGTTTTGTGCCATCCAATACACCATCAGGGCTTCCCCTAGAACATGCATTGTTTTCGCATGTTATTACATTGAAATGTCTCATAGTCTCTCACAAGTAATTATTGTCAAGTGTAGTGATTGCAGTAGAATGTGACAGGTTTCATTTGCAACTGGTTATATTCAGAGACCAATAATGAATTCAAAATTGATCTGGGTTTTACACCACCTGCGGGTAAAATTCCTCTCCCTGCTAAGTGTAGTGAGTTTGATGATGTACATTCTTCATTGCAAAGAAAACACTGAAGGTTATTATGCCAAGCAGCAAGAGAAATTTCACGCTTCCAGTTTCATCAGTGTTTAATTAGTAACTCAATACAATGTATCTAAAAAAGCCTAATGTCCGAGGATAGGAGCACTTTAGAAAACATTAATTGAAATGAATAGTTTTTAAATGATTAAGGTGCAAATAAGCATTGCCTGCCACCTAGTAAATGACTGTTTTCAGAGATATTCAGGAGATTAAATATTAATAAATAGATGACCAGAAGCTTAGCAGCTAATTGAAAAGAAGGTTGTGTGTATCACCAATGCAGATTGGCAAGCAGGAACGAGAGTGGAATTATATTGCAGACAGAGTTGGATTATATTCACAAGGGCAGACGCTTTTTGCTGTTTTCTGACCACACACAAGAATGCAGTGCATTCAGACCTAAATGCAGCCCATTGAACTGTTGCGTTTTTGCCCATATTGTCCTTACCTTTGATGCAGTTAGCAGCATCATGGTGCACTTCTCGAGGACTGCCCTGGCAGCTGCCATTCTTGCCTTTTTCTTTTCATCTTTCAGATCCTAACAAAAGAGAAAGGATTTATTTTGCACTCTAGCATTTCAATTCTAAAGACACTAAAATTCTCATAGGATAGCTCAAGTGGGATTGTGTCCCAGAGTGCAATGGAGGCTATTCTCTTGAGGGTGGGATAAAAGCTTTTTATTGTGGAAGAACAGACAAAATATTGCACAGCAAGGGTGGGCTTGTTGGAACAGACCCCAGCTGCTATTCTTAAATTTTTTAAACATATAAACCTATATATTACAAATCTATGGCGATACGGTTGCAAGGGGAATGACAGATTCCCCCTTTAGTAGTGTTGTTCAAGCTTTTCAGACACATTGATATTGATTTGTCTATTTCCAAGCACAAATATGACTGTTCTTTGTTCCAACTCTGCCTCCAATCCCAGGATGGCAACATGAGAACATTAATTTTAAATTAATGGAGGCCCTCATCCTCACCTATAAATCCCTTCACACCCTAGCAGCTCTCCAATCTCCTCTTTTCCCACTCCGCTGCTGCAATCAGCTAACACAAGCTGCGCGTCCTCCACACCACCATCTGTGATTGAGATTTCCGATTTTACACCTCTAACCTTTGAAACTCCTTCTCCTGAGAGATCAGGCAATGTATAAAGGTGTACTTTTGTTCGTAAAATTCATGTGGTCAATATTGAGGAAGATTTGAATATTTATTAATATTTATTCAAAAAAAAATCCCATTTCACTGATAAACTGGTGTTTTTTTGTATAATTATAGACCGGATCAATGCAATTAACAAAATGTGAAGGCTCTATTCAACAGATTGCATGGCATAGTTAAATCCTGCGTACAAATTCAATTTGACAGAAAAACATTAAAATGAAGTTTATTTTTGTATTAGATTAGTTTTGCTCACTCAACAAACATCATGTTAAGAATGCTTTCATTTAAGTTTGATATTCTTACATTTCTTACTATCTTGGGGATGGGGTTGAAGTGGGAATGGAGAACAGACAGATTTGTGTTCAGAAATAGACAAACCAATGAAAATGTCTGAAAGTCTGCACAACACAACACTTGGGCATCAAAACTGTACCTACTTTTACTTGGTAGTGTTGGGGCCCGGGCTGCTCAATTGGACCGCTATACAGTTACTTTATTCTAGGATTTTTGTGGCAAATTCGTACCGATAGTTGAAAATAAATCCAGTAAGAATGTAATTTAGGGCATGTGATGAGATCAGCACACAGCAGACTGACAACTGGAAACGAAAAGACCACCCACTATCAGCTGAATTCCCGAATTTAATGAACTAACTGGGTTTTCAAAATGCATTTCATGCTTCATAGTTTCATGGTATTTCAGAAAGTTTTGCATGCAATACTTATAACCAAGATTAAGGCTCAAGGAATGAAAGTCAAATTAATCAGCTTGATAGAAATGGCTGAGTGATAAAAAGATGAAGGTCTCATCGAATTGAAAAGGTTCTTCTTTTGCCTTCTGTATCAGCAAGTAGTGGAATCCCACAGGGATTTTTGTTCCGTTTCCCCTAATGTTCACATTGTAAGTAGAAGTGCAGGACAACTCCATCGTTAAGCACCTCACTATTCAACGTCACTTAAAACACAGCTATTCTGTGGGCCAGTGATTACCATTTTGAATACTCCAAGAGTGAGTCAGCCCGTTTCCTTTTAAATCAGCCAGGAATATGACACATGCTTCAGAGCATTGAAAACAGACTCCCACATATGTATACCACCTACACATGGAACTGTTCCTGTATCTTTCTCTGAAGGGAGGCACCTTGCTTGCCTAATTAGGAACAGTATTAGGCACAGGTTGGCAAGAGAAGGTTTGAGGACCTCAGAGAGTGCACTGAGGTACTGTGCTGAATTTAACCATCAAAAACTGCATGTCTTGCTATTGAAAGCACTGTCTGGCAAGCTTTCCCCCTGCTTGTCCAGGTGGAATAGACCATCCTACCCATTAGGGCTTTGGCTTCCAGAGTTATCAGGAGCTGAATTGGAAGAGTCCCTGCCCTCAGTGACTGGGGTGATGACCAGTCCTCCAAATCCTGCCAAAAGGCCAGGCTGGTTGGCTGGCATCATCAGCAATGCCCTGGAATACTGCAGATCCACCTAACTCGGAAACCAGACTATTGAGACAGCTACAGAGGGTTGATTCGATTCCGACATTTGAATACCAAGCACATCACCTTAGAGCCAACTTGGATTGAAGGACCCCTACTGAGCTTCCTCCACTCTCACTTACCCAGGGAGGATTTTCACTAGTTGGTCATTTGACATCTCACAAGTTATGTTTGCACCTTCACTTGATGAATATCTGGAACCAGAAACCCCCTGAGAGCTTTCTGGTGAGCAGCACGACTCAGTTGGCAATTTGAGAGAACATTACCACCAGCCTCCTGTCTACAGCTTGGATACACGTCCCTACTCACTGGCTCCATCAGCGGAGCTTGAGCAGCAACTACTAACCACTCTGTAAACCAATCAAGGTGGACACCAAGCCCTGGATATATGAGCATGTGGTCATGAACACAGACTCATCAACAGCAACTTGTGTTTATATAGTGCCCGCCATGTGGGGAAGGATTTCCAAAGTAATGCCTTCCAGCAGCAGTCCAGCATGTGCAAAAGTGACCTGTAGCTTAGTGGTTAGAGCACTCGCCTTACAAGCGAGAGACCTGGGTTCAATTCCAGGCAGGGTGAAACCGTAGGCAAGTTTCTTTACTCCACACAGAGCCTAATAATAATCCCTCAAAAAAACATTAATAAATTGATTATTTCAATCCACAACTGTTTGTGGGACATTGCTGTGCGCAATTGGCGTTTCTCCCACAAATATACAGTCAATTCACTTTACAGTATGTTCTGTGAAGCGCTTTGAGACATCTAGAAGGTGTGAAAAGCACTGTAGCAAATGCAAGGATTATTATGATTATAGTGATGACTTGAGCAAGACTTGTGGCTATTTTTGTGTTTTCTTCTGCAATTGAATGTAAGAACTTTCATATAGTTGTTTGTTTTTAGCTATAAAGCCACAATTTTGACAGGACGTAGAAAGAAGCTGGTGATTTCATGAGGGTAAAGGGAGATGCAAAGTGGAGCACAGACAGACAGGGAGATTCAATTCAATGCACATTTATATACAGTAATGCCTGTAAAGTTCTTCACAGTGCTGGATGGGCACCGAGATGGAGGGAGAGAGAAGGTTAAGGTTATAGAAATCCATGTCCTGACTGCCTCCATGTACCTCATTCAACTGATTCAAATGGATAGATCAAGATGGGACTGGGAGCAGTTTCTTCCATCTGCTTGCTAACAATGCACAGCGCATGGTCCAGGAAATAGGTGAAAATTTACAGAGCTGATATCCTCTGGTTAAAATAACACAAAGACACGATAGGGATCTTAAAAACAAATACAATTTTTAAAAAAATTACATAGCAATTGGCACTGACACTTAGCCACAGTGCTAATCATTACAAGACAGCTTATTTTAAATATTCAATATTCTATTACGTCCTTGCAGAGGCTATCAGTTTTTGGCCAAAGCTGCAACAAAAAACAAATAGACGTTTAGTTTTTATGAACAATTAAAATAGAACTGCAGCCATCCATTTCTCTGATCAATGTTCACAACAAGCTGTGTTATAAATTACTCTGCCTGGACCCACTAACCCAGCAACATAAAAGTGTTACAACCGTGTAGCTTCCACTCACTACACATCATTTTGTCAGCTAAATATATTGCATTTTGCCTTTGTTCTTTATTGTCTGTTTTTTTAATAATACCCCAAGGAGTAATTTAATAAAGCATTATTGGAAAAAGTGTACTCATACAGCATACTTCACAACCAATTCAGGACTGAATGGGTAAATTAATCAGTCTGAAGAGCCCCAATCAGGACTTTAATTTCCTTATTTTTTTCCCCCTGTGAACAGTTGCAGCAGTGTATGAATGACAGGTACTTTCTGAGAAGGCCCAATCAATCATTCCACAATTCTACAGTATCAACACGTTGATGGCATTACAATGCACTTCCATCAATCACTCGGGTTTGTCTTGTCTTAATAATGTATGTTTGTGCCGCTATATAATTCATGGTCCTGTTGCACTGCTCAAGTAACCTTGTTTTACAAGACTCACTTCAAACATTTTGTCTGCTTCTGTACTTTTCTCCTCTGCAATATTTGTTTTACAAGTTGCCACATAACAAATATTGTAAATCAATCACCGAGCCTCAAAATTTCACCTAATCTTAGTCTGCAAGACTAGTTTGATAGCGTAAAACAATGGGAAATTCTTAATTCCAATTGCAGAAGAAATTTCTAGATTTTTTCACATTTCTACACAATCTTAAATAATAAAACAAAATAATATAGGACTTGGTGGAATTTTATTTCAAGCCTCTGGTGAGATAGTTTTTAAAAAGTATTTTTAAAAACATATTTACCAATAAGAATGTTGGAGTGACAAATGGTCATTCAGACCTTGCCATGAAGGTCAATTTCAGGACCTCACATGAGAATCTTTTATCTTATTCTCACAGGAAACCTGTTTCATGCCACTCCTTGTGGAATCGGGTGTGATCAAAAGTGATCACCGCATTGTCAGTGTTTCTGCATTATGGCAACACCGATCACCACTTGTGGTGTCACTGTGTACGTGCAACAACAACAAGATTACATTTGTATAGCACCTTTCACGTCGGGAGGACTTCCCAAGGCACTGGACAGAGTACAGCATTTCAGATGGCATGGTCGAAGAGGAGAGTCTTGAAGCGGGACTTGAAGGAGACTAAGGAGGGGGCGAGGTGGAGTGACTGGGGGATGGAATTCCAGAGGTTGGGGGCAGAGTGGCTGAAGGCTCTCCCGCCAATGGTGGGGCGGGTGGGTCGGGGACGTGGAGCAGGCCAGAGCCGGCTGAGCGGAGGGAACGGATGGATTGGTAGGGGGTTAGGAGGTCGTAGAGATAGGGTGGGGTGAGGCCATGGAAGGTTTTGTATGTGAGGACCAGGATCTTGAACTGGATCCTCTGAAGGATAGGGAGCCAATGGAGCCGGGCGAGAATGGGGGAGATGGGATCACGGAGTTTGGTGCAGGAGAGGACACGGGCTGCAGAGTTCTGAATTATCTGCAGTCTGTGGAGGGAGGAGTTGGGAAGGCCGACAAGCAGGGTGTTTGCATAGTCGATTCTGGAGGTGATGAAGGCATGAACAAGAGTTTCAGCGGTAGTGGCGGAGTCGGGCGATGTTACGGAGGTGAGGGAAGGCAGAGCAGGTCATGGCTTGGATATGGGGAAGACAAGACACTGAGGTTCCTGACTGGCGGTGAGTTGTAGTGTGCAACCATGGAGGTTGATGCTGCCAGAGCCTGAGGTGCTGAGGCGCTGGCGCGAGCCAATCAGGAGGGCCTCAGTCTTGTTCACATTCAACTGTAGGAAATTTGCCCTCATCCAGGACATGATGTCCGACAGACAGTCTGTCAGGACAGCAGTGGTCCTGGAGTCGAGGGTGGAGGCAGAAAGATAGAGTTGGGTGTCATCTGCATACATGTGGAAGTTGACCCCATGTCTGCGGATGATGTCACCAAGGGGGAGCATGTAGATATTAAAGAGGAGAGGGCCAAGGACAGAGCCCTGGGGGACGCCAGACGTGACAGTGCGGGGCTGGAGGAGAAACCGTTAGAGGCAATGAAGTGGAGACAGTGAGAGAGATAGGAATCGAACCAGGCAAAGGCAGTTCCCCGAAGATTACGTAAAGAGGAAAGGCAGTGTATGAGGATGGAGTGGTCGACAGTGTCGAAGGCGGCAGAGTGGTTGAAGAGGACAAGGAGGCAGAGGGAGCCTTGATCACAGATGTTCAGAATGTCATTAGTGAGTTTGACCCGGGCTGTTTCCATGCTGTGGGCAGCGTGGAAGCCGGATTGGAGGGGTTGAAAGAGGGGATGGTGAGAGAGAAAGGAGCTGAGCTGGGACGCGACAACTCGTTCCAGGACCTTGGAAAGGAATAGGAGGTTTGAGATGGTGCAAATCCGATCATCTCACTTCCTGGGTGCCCGCCAGCTCCCAAGTGATGTCTGTGGGGACATAATGACCAGGAATTTGACCAATTTTAGCTCGGGCCCTGACCAGCTATGTGCTTTGATTGGTGGGACGTCCCAAAGCAATAAGGTGCTATATCAAATATAACCATTGCTTTCATTTTTAAAATGTTTAAATTAAAAAACCTAAATATTAAGCCACATCTTCTACATTGTATACACAGATGATCTTAAATTCAATTGCAAAACAAAATATAGTATAAAGGCACATAATGAATCAGTTGTATTGTATGCATGTTAAAAAAAACATTTATAAGTACGTAACATTTCTTGCATCAACAAAATATAAAGACACAAGTCGGATACTACACACTGTTCAAAAAAAAAGTCTACTACTATGAAAGACTATTCTGGAGTCTCAGAAAGAAATCAGTTAACTTGCACCAACTCAAATTACCTTTTTATTGCTCTGATGCACAACACAGCCAGGTGCTAAACTCTGTCGTGTATGTAACATGGGCAGCTGTGCCTCCAGATGTATACTGTTCTCGAATGTGCCTCAATAAACTATCTAGTGTACAACAATAAAGGACGGTTTAGGAGATCACTCCCTAGAAATCACATCGGCCACATCTCAGCAGATTGTACTCGTAAAACCAATCAATACTCGATGAGATGAGAGACTGATTCACAAGTGTGATACAAGTAAAATGAAATGGTCTTGTATGTGTGAACCTTTTTAAGTCACAGAGTATTCAATCTCCAATGAGTTAACCTGCTGTGTCATGGATCATGAGGCAAACATTACATTTGTGTACAAAGGTATGAAGTGGGCAGGATTTCAAGTATCAAAAGGTGACCGATTAAACTGAAGTGATGCAATGTATATTGTTGCAGTGGTATTCACTAAAACAAAATGTTTAACTATTTTACGTTTTATCAGCATAGAAACAATAACACTGTTGTAATAATAATCCTTGCATTTGATATAGCGCCTTATCACGTCTTTGAGGTGTGTCAAAGATGCTTCACAGAATATACTGTAAAGTGGATTGACCGTATATTTTGTGGGCAAAACGCCGCAGGCAATTGCGCAAGCAGTGTCCCACAAACAGGCGTGGATTGAGTGACCAATTTATTTTAATTTATTTTGAAGGGATTATTACTCTCGGAAAAGCGATCCGCCAATCAACTAACAACCTATTAGTATTAGTTGTAGTATGAAAGGCCAAAAAGCAAAAGGATATACTATATTGAGAAAAGCTAGTCCTATGGACTCCACTGTTACATCATTCCAATTTGAAAACACATCTATTTATTCCTCCTTTGGGTCCATTAGCCAATGCTCTATCCATGCTGCCACAACCTCTTTTATATTCTGTATCTTGATTCTTTCAACAAGCTTTCTGTGAGGCACCATATCAAACACTCTTTGAAAATCTATATACACAATGTCCAATGCATTCCCTTGATCCACAGACTCTATTCCTCAAAGAACTCTATTAAATTTTGCAAGCATGACTTGTCTTTAATAAATCAGTGCTGGCTGCCATTACTTAACTAATACTTAACTAAGTGATTATTTTATCCTGCTGTGAAAATTTTAACTACTCCAGATGTTCGTCTGACTGGTCTATAGTTACCCACCAGGCATCAAGGCCTGTTGACTTTTCTACTTTGTGCTCTGCCAACTTTTTCAATACCACTTCCTTTTCTATTGTTATTCCCTGTGATCAAAACATCTTCTCTTGATGCCTAGTCATCAGTAGCTAAATTTTCCAACTAGACACCGCTGACGTATGGAACTCCCCCCCTCAACCCTTCAGTCTCATCACCCACCCCGCCATTATAGAACACTACGTGAAGGGAGCTATATAAACGCAAGTTGTTGTTGTTGTTATACGCTGACTACTATCAAACTCGACTAAAGAATGAGGCAAAAACTGCAGGATACCTGCCATTCCTCCTTTCTCATTACAAGATTTTATTCCATCTCTAATTGGATATTTCTTTGTTTATATTAATGCTGCCCTTCACAACCATGAGCCTGTGCCATCTTGTTCTACTACAATGGAAAATCTGAAAGTATTGTTCCAAGTTTACTTTCCCTAACCCATAAAGCACCTTATTTATACACCTCTATGAAGTCTCCTCTGAGATGTCCTTTTCAAAACTGAATAGCCCTAGTGTTTTTCATAGATCATCCTGTAACACTAGATTGAACCTTTGTGCTCTCCTCTGCACTGCTTGAAAGGCATGGGTATTCTCCTCATTTGCTGCAAACCCCTTATGTTGTGGTGACCAAAATTCTATGCAAACTGAGCACTCGAAACGTGGCTTCTGAGGATCTGAACTCACTTGATTTAGCAATGAACCTACCAACCAGTTTTGCTTTGTTTATTGCTATCTTACACTGTCTGGACATGATGAGCTACATGTCAATTCACACCCTTAGATCTCTTTCAACTTCTCCTTTGTCAAGTATTATCCATATTCTGAGTACATGGGACCTCCCACTTTGACTTGTACAAGGAATACTTTGCATTTCATCTGTACTGAACATTATTTGTCAGAATGCAATTTAATTCTAAGATTCTGCACTTAATATCATTAAATGAAAGTAAAATGCACCGTGTAAACCATTGATCATCATGTCAGCACTCTAGTTGAACTGTGCACAAGCAGCTAATCATCCAAATCAATCTTGATTAATCGTATCATGGCTGTTGTGGGACATTGGGCTGCCGCATTCACCTACAAATACAGTTACTCCACTTCACAGTAAATCCTGTGAAGCGCCTTGGGACTTTCTCCCAACATGAAAAACGCTATACCAAATGCCAGAATTATTATTATTAGTAGTGACTATCCTCGTTTGCGGGAGGTAAGCGGGGTCATTGAGTTGAGCTGGCTCCGTTTGAATGTTAGAATCGAGTCAAACCTGCATGGTGACTCTGTAGTCTGCTCCTAAGCCAGGTGAGATGCAGCTTTACAGGGCAACCGACCAACCTACCTCATCAGAGGGCACACCAGTCATTGCAATTTGGGATTTCTCCCAGTCAGCTTCTTTTAACTCTGAAAGCCAAAACACTAATAGGTAAGGTGGTCATAATTGAACAAGCAGCAGGACGTGTGTCAGGCAGCAGCTAGTGAAAATAGTAGGGAGACATTCTGTGCTTCATTTGGGTTGTGATGGGAAAGTTTAGAACACCACAAACATTAGTGAAAATTCCTTCATCACTGCAGCTGATCTAATACCTACGTTTTGTCGGTCTCCTGTCAAATGGGCAAATTCTACCATCTCATTTCCAAACTGACTGAAGATCTGTACGAACTCCTGAAAACTGCTGACTTTTTCTAACTGCTCCAATGTTGTAAGAACCTGGAAAAAGGCAAAACACAAGACTTTACTGAAGGAGTTCATTCTAGTAATAAATCAAGGTCGATTCACAGGTTACAGTACTACACAGCACCAGAACAATTGCAAATTGTCAGTCAGATTATTAAGTCTTCAGTCCTCCAACTGAATCCTACCAGAAATAAAAAGCCTTAAATTTTCAATTTGAAAACATAAAATCTAATCGGATCCTGAAAAGATATTAACCTTTATAGATCCCCCAAATACCTTAAAAACTATTTACAGAAGCTAGTCTCACGACAAGCAGCTCGTTCCAAATAAATTAGTTTGAAACTCATTTTTAACCTTAATCAAACATTAAACCACATCTTAACCAACTTTGAGGTGAGATGGAAAGCCTGAGGAAGCTGACCCCATATGAACGGTTCGTCAAGGAGTCATTAACCCAAGATGTTTCGACAATCATGTCACTTTATCTTTACTAGTTAGTTTTGCTCTTTCACACCATCGGGTATAGTAGCTCCCCTCTGCCAATTTCAAAGTGACCTTCAAAGCTACTTCAGCAATGGTAGTCATAAATAAAATAATTTTTTGTAAGATCACACAGAAAGAGACAAGAATGTTGAAGTTAACCTGAATTATTTGTAATCATTCGACGATGTAAAAACGAGTACTGGAGTTCGGCCACAAAAACACAGTCACACCACTTTACGTGACTGTGAAACACTTTGAGATGTCTCGGCAATGTGATAAGGTGCTTTATCAAATGCAAGAATCATTATTTATTATTACCCTCAACACGACTTGAAAGTAGTACTTCATCATTTTTCTGCCGTTAATGGCAAACAGAAACAAGGAAGCACAGAGCTGCTTGGAACTCGAGAGAAAAAGGAAAGATACAAGAACAGGCGACATACATTGCTGTTTGCAGGTTATTTGTGGTAAAAAAAATGATAAATGATTCTACGGCAAACAAGTACACTTTAGACAGGAGGCATTTATAAAATACATAGCTCAGTTCATTCACATAAAACCAACAAAATATTTCTCCAAACTATAATATTTCCTAGTTTTATTGACAACATCTTCAGCAATAAAGTGAACCTGTCAACATAATTTCTAGAATCGTCAGCATTACTTTAATCTATAAACCAAAGACAACCAAATATTTATCACAAAGGACAGTTAATATTTCATAATGATACATTGATATCAATCCTCTATAACCAACAAACGACATCTTGATTGATGGGAATTTTTTCCAGCTCAAAAAATCAAAGCTGTTTTTCATTTTGAATGGCTTTGACGATCATAAAATTGTTTTCTTTCCCTCCTAAAAATCCAATTGAGTTCCACATTAATAGTAAAAGCCACATGAGGAAAAGTATTAAAGCTCAATCAGTCTGGCTGGAGGTTACTGCAAAGTTCCCTTATTTTCATTTTGCAGTTACAATAATCATTTTACAGATCAGCAATCTTGCCTCAGGTTATCCATAAGGCAAGTTCTCAATTAATATAACAAATTAATACAGCAAACTTCAATTAGAGTATCAAGTGTTTCGCTGTACATGGACAGTGAATCCCAGATAGTTTGTGGCAACCTGTACAATTGCCCCCCCAACCCCCCCACACACACACAATGATTATTAAGAACGATTCCACTTAATCCATAGGCACAAACGGAATACATTAATACGAATTTGGGGGACGGGGGAATGGTGTTAGTCTGGAAACTGCTAATATCTAATGAATCTACAACATACTATCATTGTGGTGACTGTGTGACCATTAAACTGATCTCTGAAACCAAGGTGGGAATTAATGTTGAAAACATCTTTCAGCTTCTCCTGCAGTACAGTGAGCATTCTTAATGAAAAAAAATTGTCTACTTGGAGAGTCATTGAGTAGAGCACGGCAAGATATCTCACAATCCAGCTCCTTTGGTGATCTCTCTTAGGATTCATTGCATATAGTTATACTGTAATGATATGCTACTGCCTCCAAACTGATCTGATCGCACAAGGCTGACATCTTCATATACTGTGAGAAGTCACATTGAGCGAGCCAGCCAGAATATCAGTAACATCATGTACTCAGGATTGAGATACAGTATAAGAAAAGTGTCTGCTGCTCATCCATGGCTTTAAAACAGGGTGGAGGTGAAATAATATTTACAACAAAGGTTTGGTGCACAAAATGTGTCGGATATAATGAGCAAAGGTAAAAGCGTAAGACAGAAATCTCCCGAAAGGCTCCTTTTCCTGGGAAATCTATGGCAATCAATTGAACAAGCTCAAACATAAAATAGGGAGCAATCGAAAAACACTACTTGAATGAAAGTAACCAAAATAGCGATGTGTAATCATCCAAGACAACATAATTTCACACAGGATAGCGTCAAAGTGCTTAACAATGGCGGAGCTTGATGTTGAACCGTGGGGGAAGAGTGAAAGTGACCATAAGCATGGTCGAAGAGGAAGGTCTTTAGGCGTGATGGAGGTTGCGGAAAGGGATTTTATCAGAGAATGAATACGGGTTAGTAAGCTGAGAATTGAACCTGACTGGGTTCATTAAGCCCTAGGGATAGGCCAGGAACGTTCAGAAGGTCAGAGCAACAGGAGAGAAGATATTGACAGGAGCCAAGGAGTATGGCTTCTCCCATCTTGTTGACATTCAATTGCAGGAAGTTTTCACTCATACAGGCCTTGATGTCTGACAAGCTGACAGAACATCAGTGGACCTGGAGTTAAAGCTGGAGGAGGAGAAGCAGATTTGGGTGTCAAAACATAAGAAAATCAAAACAGAGATCCAACTTTGGTCTCTCACGTTTCAAATATTGATGGCACACAACATTTCTACAATCATGGGTTCTACCCAGTTCATGAAACGAACAACATCAAGGGGCATGGTTTTCAGCCCAGAAAAGAAAAGGTGAAAGGAAGGTTTGGTTTCAACTACTTTACACAAAAGCACTGAATACATGCAGCAGACTATCCAGGCAAGGGAGAGCAGTTCCTTAACTGGATAGTCAAGGGGAGGGTACTTATATTTTGGAAGAAGATTGTGACAGCAAACTCGAAGGAATTAATGAAGAAAGTAATTGAGGAATACATGTCAATTTTTCAAAAAAAACACTATCTCTCAGAAGATTAACCACAATGTTCTATAGCATGCTTTACATTCCAATGTTTTTATGTAAGCTCCTGAAGAATGTGAATAAACCACAGGTACAGATAAAGCTCTGCAATACCTGAAGGAATTGAGTGAAATTCCAACATATCAGTCTAACATTTCTCAACCCTGACCCACTACATTGTGCAGAGAACATTTACAGGGTTCCCAACAGCACATGAAGCACTACGTTCCAGGCAGCTTTCAATTCATTTGGGTCTGAATTTATTCTGTTTTCCTTTAAGCCTGATTTTAAATAATTATCTGCGATTCTTCCCAATCAGTTCTTAATTGTAACCATATCCCATTCCACGTATATCTATCTTCTTGGCTATTCCTCATAGCTTTGGGCTCCCATTCCACTCTTTCCCATCATGTCTATCTCCCACTCCAAGGCTCCTTCGTCAGTCTCTCAGTCCATTTCCTTCCATTGCATCTGAATCTCAGTTTGTTCCTTCCCAACATATTGGTATCCCAGCCTGCTCCACCCCGGCCATTGCATCAATCACACAGTATGCCCGTCCTTCGGAATAGAAGTTACACCGAGGTCCCGTCTGCCTGTTCAGGTGGATGTAGAAGATCCCATAGCACTATTCAAAAAAAATGTGAGTTTCTCCTCGTGTCCTGGCCAACAATCCTGCCAACCTCCTGCTACCACCTCCGATCAAACAAAGTGTGGTCCAAAAACATAATCAAAACAAATGTCTATTCCAGTGTTGGCAAAGCAGATCATCCTCTCTTGGACGTGCCGAGAAATAAATCACAGTAAACAACCCTGATTACGATGAGGCCAAGGAACAATTGCATCATTGATAACTGTAGTCAAAATGGAAAATGCTTAATTTAGTTCAATTTTAAAATCAGTACAATCTTATGCACCAAATACCTAAAACAACACATGACTCAGTCTCATTTTTCACCAAAAAGAACTCACAAAGCAGAAGCTTATTTTTCTAGTGAACTATCAAGTCCAGTCATACATATAATATATCTTTCACTGAAATAGCAGTATGAATACCCATATAAAAGCACAGAAATGGAAATAAATCCCTGTAGGTTGTAATTATTATGGCCAGAACTCCACAGAGAATAGAAATGAGATACAGACCTGACTAACATAACATCTCTTGGGAAATCAGACAAGAACAAGCAGGTTTCAAACTAAAATACTGAAATTTCAGGTAAATGTGATTGTATATTATCTGTAGCTTTCCCCTGAATACCGGTGCTGAACGCTGTGGTCTCCAGTGTAGTAACAATATCCCATTATTACACTCAATTTTATCCCTGAATCAATACAACCACCTAATCCAATGTAAAGAATGAGCTTTATCATTAGTGAGACTTTCTTTAAAAATATTAACAACAAGAAGTACTTCAATGTTATTTAACTGTTGAATTTCTTTTGATTTTTCTAGATTAAACAGTGAACAACAACAAATTACATTTGTGTAACTCCTTTCACGTTGGGAGGATGTCCCAACTCGACAGTCAGGGAGTTGGGATCAGGGAGGATGGATAGCAGGGATGGTAGGGGTAGGAGGGTGATCGATGGCATGGTCGAAGAGGAGGGTTTTTAGACATGCCTTGAAGGGATCAAGACAAAGGGACTGTAGGATGGAGTTCCAAAGGGTGCGGGCAGAAAGCCTGAATGCCCGACCACCGATGGTGGGGCGGGCGGGGGATGTAGAAGTAGTTGCTGAGCAGAGGTAGCAGACAGGTTGATATTGAGTCATCAGGTCACAGAGGTAGGAAGGAGCAAAGCCGTGAAGGGCTTTGAGGGCGAGGAAGAGGATTTTGAACTCTAAACACTATCGCTATCTTGGAGAGAATATTGAGCAGTATAGTGTGAT